CAATTAACAGTTTCATTTCCCTTTCCTCCGTGGGTAGGCATGAAATGTAGGTGTCAGACCTAAGGAGTTCGTTCAGAACTCTCTGTGACATGACCACGGGCTAATTGACCTTGAAAGCAAGAGCCTTTGACTAAATGGTGACATAGCTCTGGAAATCTCGAGTTGATGAGACAATTGTATACAAGGGTGAGCAGATGCAGTAGTAGCTACTTTTTTTCTGGAAAGCCCTTTATTAACATGTTAATTGATGACTGCAGATTGAAAAATTTTATTTTTGTATTTTTTCTTCCTTTTGTTTTCAGTGACTGCTGCTTCTCCCCTTCTCCACTCCCACCAAAAAAAAAAAAAAGGAGGGTTAAAGTTATGCTAGGATTCTGTGCCATGGATAAAATCCAGGCCACTCCTCTTCGACTTCAAAGGAGCCATTTGCAATGGAATGAGTGTCATTTGGTGGTGGAAGCAGGAAGCTATTTGAGCAAGAGGCACACAAGTGAGACAAGAGGAGGGGGAGCAAACCTGAGGACTGGTGAAAAAGTCTTTCCACCTATGAGAACACGCAGGTTATTTCAGCTGCCGGGATACAGCAGGCAATTGCAGGGCACTTGCTGCCTTCCTGAGAGGGAAGCTTGCTTCTCTTGGCTCTGTGCCCTCCTGCCCTGCAACCCCCATAAGGACTGAATCTGGGCACAGCAGCTGATGTTCGAGTTCAATAGCATACAGAGGACCATCACACCGAACCTAGCAACACTGAACCTAGCAGTATCCCAAAGTTCTCCTCTCTTGGGAAAATCTGACTTCACCTCCTGACCCCAGCACACACAGTTCTGAAATTCACTTGTGCTCTATGGAATTTAAAGAGAAGAAAAGAAAAATGCCTCTCCTTTCCACCACAAAACAGACCTTCACTTTCATAAAGACAGAGAGATGTAGTCCTGTAGTCCTGTCACATTCATTTCTGTGTACAGAAAAGCTCACTATATACCTTTTCTCCATCCTCATTGTTGTCTTTGTCTGCAGTTTTTTTGGGTGTAATTTATCAAAGTTTTCTTGCCTTGGATTCCTGCAGGCCTCATTTGGATACAATATACACTTGCCTTACTTCAGTTCCTGTAGACAGTGATGTATTTGATCTGCTGGCCTGAGATATGCATTTCTTTCAGAAACCCTAATGTAAACACTGGAAGTAGTTTATAGCTGTGAATCAGCATCCAATGGTCGTGATGATTTAAAGCTATAAAGAACTGACATAACCCCCCCTCCCCTGCACTCCAACTCAGAGTCTTAAGGTGGTTCTCTATTCTGTTCTAGAAGCTACAATTAGAAATACTATTAAAAAAAAAAAGATCTTCTGGTTTTCTTCTTTTATTTTTCCTCTGTTTTCTTTTTTTTTTTTCGTTTCAGTTTTGGTCAAGCACAAGGAAGTATTTTTCTGCTGTGCTGACTTTTTATTTCTGCCCAGCAGATTTGGAGCTGAAATAGAGTCTTGCTGACAGGATTTAATACGAGGAAGTTTTGCAATATGTTTTACAGCTGGTGTAAAACTTGGTGAATGTCAGAAGGTAGCTGCTGCAATAAACTAGTTAGGTATTGCTGTGAATATCATTTGAACAAGATGCTTTCCCCTCGAACAAACACTATTTGGTACAGGGTTCTTTCAAGGCATCCATACTAATTGTTAAAATCTACCATTTGATGAGCAGTGTTAGTTTATGTGCACTTTAAAAAAGTGGTAGAGACAAACCTTGAGAATTGCATTCTCTTTCCAAAGGTCAGATGCTAATAAAAAGTAATGAATTGCTTCTTTTTGTTTTTCAAATGAATTTGTCCAACATCCTAAAAATCTGAAATATTTATGTGACACTGAACAACAAGAAAAAAGGGTGTTGTGTTTTGCTTTGTTTTCAAGCAGATTTCAAGAGTGAAACCTGTTTTTATACATCTTGTTAACACATTTCACTGTAGTTGGCAGTTTGTCAACAGATGAAAAAATATATGTTTGTTTTAGCTGGCAAGACTGCTCAGTGTATTGGCCTGAGCAGAGTTCTGAGAATCTGGATACCTGGAGTTTATTCACAGCTATGCTACTGCTCTGCTGAGTGACTCTGAGCAAGCACCTCTGCCTCTTTGCTGCCTGCTTCCCTCCTATATCATATCCAGTCAGCTTGTGATCACTTGGAGCAGACACTTTCAAGAGATTTTTGTCTGTACAGCACCTTGCACAGCTGACTCCTATCTCACTTAGGATCTGCAGGTGCTTCAGTCATGTAAGAGTAGCAACAAAATTAAGGATGTCTAATAAAGTCTTGTTTCCCTGTATTTATGAGAGGAGAACGAAGTAAAAAGCAATTGAAATATTTCCTTTTTTTTTTTTTTTTTTTTTTTTTCTATTCTTAGAGTCTTTCAAAGACTGGAAAAGACAAATCTCTGGTTAGATAGGATGTAGTTAGGGAATGCCATGTCCTTTCCTGTGACTCCTACTGTGTGTCCTTGCAGTCACTGGAGTCAAAACAGAGGAAAGTATTGTTTTTTCACCCTCTTAGACAGGAGAGGAGTCGAGATAAACCAAGGACACAGTTGAAGATGAATCAGTAATAAACAGTAAATAGCTAGTGACTGTTTCAGTGTCTCTGTGGTAGTTGGAACTCCTATAGCTGCTCCTAAATTTACATGACTAAGTAGCTCTGTGTGCAATTCTGAGGGGCAAACAACTAATAGTAAGGAAAAGTTAGACAAAAACCCCAAACTAATGAGGCACTGCTAATACTATGTAGATAATCAATAAGGTCCTTGCATGTTACTGCCCTGTTTTCTTTACCTACCCATCCTCAAATGAGTTTTGAGTTCTCCACATATGCTGTTCTGACAACAGTTTTACTGCATTGACTGAAGCCAAGTTACTCCTTCACATGGGTATAAGGAAAGTCAAACAAGGCCAGGACTAAACTTGTGGATGCAATTATAACTGATGAGCAGTGTTTTCCTAATCTGTTTCTCTTTGTTGCTCTTTTGAGCAATACAAGTGTTTGAGACTCACTGCATGGTCAGTGTTGGCAGATGAATGTGTTCATCTTAAGTGCTGCATCCTTGTAGCAGCATTAAACCCATGTTAGCGCTTCCTATGACGTGCTGACTTCACTGGCAGTCAGTTTTATACTTCTGCAACTCAGAATGAGAGTGAATGTGAAGAATGGATGGCACTTCACAAAGAGAAAAACTGTCTTATGATCTGAACTAAATACTAAAAACTTGGAAGGTTATTTCCTCAGTTCATTCAAAGCATGTGTTTTTTGAGCACTGCAGACAGTGCAGATACCTAAACAAGCAATTAGTGCTTCAAAAGTTTTGTGTTTTTTAATGATTCCAGTAAGATTTGCTGTCTCACTGTTTTAAATTAACCAATAAGGGCTTGGAAACCTAACTCTAGGCAATTATTCCAGGAAACTTTGGACAACATACTGTAACAATATTAATTATTCAGAATTAACAATCAACTATTCAGTGCAAATTTGGATGATGATCAGTAAACAAAGTGTGAGATCACACATGGAATGAGTACCAAAGTACAATATTTGTAAATATGTTTTTAAATGTTCTTAAAGCCATATTAATGGAAGTAAATGAAATTTGGACAGCTAATGTTTTCTTAAGTTTTCACCACTTTATTCTGCAGTTTTAGTATTCTTTCAATGTAGGCTTTTTATAATAAGAGGTACGGTGGTCCTTTATTATACTGTGTTATGAATTAAATATTAAATTATAAAATAAATTTAGAAAAATTAAAGTTAAAATGCAGTAGTCACCTTAGCCAACTGAGGTACTCTGTGATATGTTAACCCTGCTTTTGCATGCTTGGTCACTTGCAGTCTATTTTACTAATTCAAAGAATTTACGACATGTCTCTCAGTCATTTCCAGGAATTTGAAAGAGCTTGTTTGTTTATTCTTACTTGCAACAAGCTTCTCCACAAAATTCTTCAAAATATACCAAAGACTTCTTCTCATCTGAAACACAACTACAGGCACCTAAAAATAACAATCTTTTTTAATGGGCTAATTAGTGCATCAAATTATTGCTCAGGCCCTTTATCTGAGACTTTGGGTAAAATCCAAATGGAAATGAGCTTGGCCGGTGCATTTTAACCTACATTTGTCAGCCTCACAAAGTCACCATGTGATTTAGCCCAGTTGGCAGCTCTAGTTCAGAGACAAGAACTGCTGGCATAGCTGAGATGCTTCAGGCAGGGAAGACCATAGCATTTTGACAGGACTGTGCACACACACTCTCACTCCTGCTCTGTGTGTGTTTCCAGCCCCTGCTCTCACTTCCACCCAGGCAGCAACATCATCCTGGATTTAATTATTTGAGATTTGCAATAAAACTGATTTTTAGGAAAGCAGTAACATCCTCCTGAACATGGATTTGTTATAAAATAAATAACAGCCTGCTTCAAAAGCAGAAGGATTCCTGGCTTGATCCCATTATTTACAGCCTGTGCTACGCCAAGCTGAGCAATGCTCAAGAACCTTTCTTGCCAGTGTGGCCACCCTGGGAGGCCATTCCCAGGTGACACATTGAGATGGGTGATGTGGCAAGTGGTGTGAGCACAATGACAAACGTGTTGTGTTTGAGCTCCTGGTCCATGGAGAGTGGGCTCTGCTGTTCCAGCTCTGGAGTAAGGGTAATGATGGTTTGACTGCTTTGGCTGCTTCCCAGGACTCTGATGAGAAGATACAGTATCTCAAGGATCCATCCTGTTCCAAAACACAAAATAAATGAACAAACCAGGATATTTTATGTTCTGTAGATGTTGCATCACAAGAATGGCTGGAGAAAAGGTTGTGTCTCACATCAGCCATGAAAGGGAGGACTTAAGGGAACAAAAAAACCCTTTACAAATTCTGCCCTAAGCCACAATTGAATAAACTCTGTGAGATATCAGATACATTGTAGAAATTCCCCCTCCAGCTACAAATCAACCTGTTTTGTTCACTGTTTTTCAGACACCTGATCTCGTGATCCATGTGATGTTGTGTATGCCACTGACGACACAGTCCTTGGTAAGCTTGATAACTCCCAACGCAATAAAATCAGCAGGAAAAAGATAACCATCAGTCTATCAAGGCCAGGATGAACATCACTGATAAATGAGGTGGTGAGGAGAGTAAACACAGAATTGGGAAGAAGCAAATAAATGTTTGCAGAGCTTTGAAAACAGCTTATTAGTTTTTAAGAGGTGGAGGTGAATAAAATAAAAAATTGAAGGTATTAGTAAATTATCTCTCATTACTCAAGGGAAAAAAACCACGTCCTGTGCAACTATATTTTCTCAGCAATAAACAACAGAAAAATATTAGCTATTTCATGATTGGTAAAATATTTGGTAGAAAAAATTTGTGCCTCATGTTTTTATTTGTCACTGAAGACTCATAAGTGTCTTGATACATGTATATTTAGTCAAATCCTGCAGAATTTTGTCATTCTCCTAAAAATGTCTTACAAAACACCCATGGAATATGCAGGGACACTTTAACTGACAAAAAATAATCAATTCTTCCTATTTTTTTTTTAATGGATTAATTTTTTTTTCCACTCCAGAAATGTACTTCAGGATACACTTAGTCTCATACAAAATAGAGAGAGAGATTCCCAAAAGCAGAATAAAGAGGGAAAGTATTTTAATTTACTGTAATATAAAACTATTCTTGAGGGAATTTTCAAGGTTTCTTCTATTTTCTATTAGAATCCCTCAAAAGAACTAAGTGTTAGGTTTTTTTATGATAGAAGTTGTCAGTTCATATTTAGTGCTAAAATGTTTGGATAACAAGTTTATGCTCATAGAAAGTAGAAGTAGAAAAATAATACCAACTTCTGTATTTCTTTTAAAAGCTACCAAGATAATGCATGTTGAGCATATCTGGCATATAAATGGGAGATGAAAGACAGAAAAAAAAATTACAATTTAAAAAAATAGTATTTATGTATTTGTTTCAATTCAATGAGAGCACAAGAAAACTAATTTTTGAAGGAAATATTTTCGTTAGTGATTCACTTTTTAAATAAATTCCATTTGGAAAAACACCCTGAAAATAACATTTCTTGTTCAGCAAGTTACATCTTCTGGTCAGAAATCTTGCATTTGGAGAAAAACATATTTTTCTCCGCTTATAGTCACTATTTTTTTTTCTCTCATGCACCACAGCTGAGACAGCCTGAATTGATTTCTTTGTTCATTTTTCAGCTTCATTAAAAATGTCAGTGCAGGCAATGCAGGGTATACTTAGTTAACACTTCCCTCCTAGGACCAGCTGTGTTTAAAAAGCCTCATCAGCTACCTACCTTTTCAGCAGGATTGAGATGGATTGAGACAAGGTAGATATTACTACTGAGATGGTCAGGTAGCTGTTACTTAAGAACTGGCACATTTTTCCAGGTCCTTGACTTTTTACAGTATTACTTGTTCCTCACTCCTTACATTTTCTCTGCAGTCAGGATCATGTGGCAGTGGGGGAGGTTATCCAGAGGAAGTGGGGAATGCTTTGCTCAGGGCACAATGGGGTCTTTAGCTGTCAGTGAAAGGTGTACCATGAAGTTCTCTTGTGGCACCCCTTGAAGCCCTATATTCTGTCATTCTGTGACTCTCTGATTAGTAATGTGAAGCAATCATATATCTAACACAATTTTGCCATGAGTGAGAGAATTGCTAACAAAGATGAGTCAAATTACAATCTAGATGCACTTGAGCAGCTTACACATCCAGAACTGAGAAAGTAGGTAAAGGTCTGCACCAGACTCAAGAAATGCAAGAGAAAATCACTTAAATGACCTCCATCTTTTAATAGTTGGGTGGCTGAACAGGGTAAACTGTATGAACTAAAAGATCTCTTGATACACATAGCCAAAAAAATCTGTGCAGCCTGCTGTGCTCTACAGAAAGCCAGTATTTCTGGTGCTGTGAAAATGTTGAGAAATAGTTTGTGTGATCTGCTGAATTATGAATGATGGCAGCTACCTGTATATTAGGAAGAGGTTCAAAAGTAGGTTGCAGTAATTCTACTAGATAAAATATACTTTTTAATGCATAGGAAGAAAGAAGTAAGATTAATTCAATTTTTTCATTATGTCAGTATCTAGGAATGTTAAAATACAAGCAAAAGTAAATTGCATTAAAGACATATTTAGAAGTGACAACATAAGAATAAAACAAATAAGAAACTACTGATCTCCTGGTAGTAGTGGTAAGTTTGGTAAAAAGGTTTGAACAGTTATTTTCTATTATTTCAAGAATTAAATATAAGGTAGAATGTACATGAATGTACATTAGAAATTTAGAGTTTATAGAATCATTTATAGCATTGCAAAGAGCAAAGCATTAATGTTATTACTAAGATTGAGATTGTGCAAAATGTGCTACATAATTATTGTCATTGTTGCAAGCCACAGAATTTTACCAAGAGCTCTACCCTGTTATATTGGCTGTCTACCAACAGGAACAGTAAATTGCCTCACGAAGCTCATAATTTATACACATCTAAATAGTTGATTAAACATTGCTTTCCTTAGTAGATGCTTTCTGAGGTGACACCCTAATTAAGCAGAGGATTTCTGTTGGGACCTTCCCTCTGATAAAATGAGCACTTATTAAGGGTGTGGTGCCCTTGCACCAGAGCAACATGACCAGTTAATGCCACTGTATATCACACAGAATCACAGAATCAATTAGACTGGAAAAGACCTCTGAGATCATCTAGTCCAACCCATGACCAAACACGACCATGTCAACTAGACCATGGACTACGTGCCACGTGAAGTCTTTTCTTAAACACCTCCAGAAACAGTCACTCTATCACTTCCTGGGGCAGTCCATTCCAATATTTAATCACCCTTTCTGTGAAGAAATTCCCTCTATTTTCCAACTTAAAGCTCCCCTGATGCAGCTTAAGATTATGTTCTCTCACCCTGTTGCTAGTTGACGAGGAGAAAAGGGTGACCCCAATCCGGCTACGGCCTCCTTTCTGGTAGCTGTAGAAAGTAATAAAGTCACCCCTGAGCCTCCTCTTCTCCAGGCTCCCTCAGCCTGGAGAACTCATAAGCTTCAGTTCCCTCAGCTGCTCCTCCTGGGACCTATCCTCTAGACCTTTCACCATCTTCATTGTATATTGTACCACTGTCTTTACAAATGTGTCATCTGATGCAAAGAAGTGATGTTAATTGCAGAAGGTTACACACAGTGCCAACACAGTACCAGAGATTAAAGAGTTCACGTAGTCAAGTAGCAAATACTTGGATAGAAAATTTCAAAGCTTATTTGAAGTTCTGATAAACCTCCACTTTCTATGTCAGACTCAGAGTATCTCGTTTATCAGACTACTCTTGATCTGGTCAACAAAAAGACTGCAATGTAACCAGCAAATCCTATTTCATAGGATGCATTGGCAACAAGACAATCCGATTCATGACACCCCTTCTCTGCAAAAGTTATATGTCGTCATTTGTCACTTGGGCTTTAAGAAAAATCAAAACTGAATCCAAACCAGGAAGTTATGGCTCCTTATCACCATCTCAGTTTCCTCAGTGTTCGAATACAAAGTTAATTATGTTTTAACCACAATAAATACTCTTTAATAATCATATTCTATTTATAAGCCAGCATCCTTTTTTCTCCTATTGCAAATCCTAATGCAATGGTTTAGCTCGGTTTATTAAAAAATGAATTTGTGAAGTTGCAAACAAATCTAGTTCACGTGCTTCCTTATTATCATCATCATAAAGGTCATATCATATTATTTCTACTCCCTAGGGGACGGATTCTCAGGTGATCTACAATGGCAAACTGTTTGACTTGAATATGATTTCAAAGACTGATATCAACAGGATCCTGCCTGTGTATGTAGTTGCATTTTCCTTTGTTGGTTACTTACCTGACTCATACTTCGAAGGGAAGGAAATGGTAGCATGGCTGAGTTAATTATTCAGCTACAACAAAGAAACTGAAAAAGGGTTTAGATTTGATACAAGTAAGAATTCTTCTGCAGTGAGGGTAGTGAGGCACTGGAACAGGCTGCCCAGAGTGGCTATGGATGCCCCATCCCTGGCAGTGAGAAACCTGGTCTAGTGCAAGGTGTCCCTGACCAGGGAAGCGGTGTCGAACTAGATGATCTTTAAAGGCCACTTCCAATGTAACTCACTGTATGATTATATACAATTTAAGCTGCAAAATCTGAACTTTGGAAAAGAGCAGCTCACAAAGAGTGAAGCAATGAAGAACATGTCTCTTGGCAAAGTTCCTTTAGTAAATCAGAAGGTCTGGATGCAAGTCAGGAATTGCTTGTTGGGGGAGGTCCTGTGGTGTCTATTAAGCAGGATACATTACCAAAATGGTCCCTTGTGCCATTCAAGTCTATTCAACTGAGTCTGTGAATTAATGATAATTGTGAATAATTTACGTAGAAGTATTCTTGCAAGAAGGCAAAAGCACTAAGGAGTAACTTTTGCAAAGCTTAGCTGTACACAAGGGTACTGTACACTGGGCATGCCTGCTCTTTGTTGAAATTGATGGCAGTGGTCAAAATTTCCACCTTTTTGCAGATGACAGTTTGAGGAAATGCCTTGTTACCATTTTGACATTTCCAGGGAAGACTATAGTTTCAGCTGTGGTAAGAGCAAGCAATAATACCTGAAAATGAAATAACTGTTAGTAAAACAGTCCACAGCCAAAGGCTGCAGCTAGATCTGAGAGGAAAGATGTAGCATGACCTTAACAGCATCAGCGTTACAATTAAAAAACCCAGACATATCCAGCTTCAAAATGATTTTTGGTTTTGGTTTCTGGAAACAATCTGAGGTACTGAGTTAAAGTTACTGGAAGAAATCAGAATTCATAGTGGACATTATGACACTCGATATGTTCAGATATTATCTCTGATTTTTCCAGTGGCGTGGATTTGCAGGGGAAGGTGTTCTGAGTTTTTCCCCTTTTTTTTCCCCCACAGAGGATTTGCTACTTGGCTTTGTTAGGATATGTGGTAGATTTAGAGGGAAAGAGAAATTTCCAACTTTTT